CAGCAGGTTCTCAGCATCTCCTCTGCTGATGGCTCCGTGATACCATCTGGTGAGAGAGCAGAGAAGGGTCAGAGCCCTGCACAGCAGGACTCCCAGAGCCCTGACGCCCTGAGGGAGGCTCAACACCCTTGAGTCCCGTTACAGCGTAGTCACACTTCCTTCGTTCATTCAGTGAGCATCCACCGACTGCTGCATCCTGGGGAGAAGACAGCCAGCAAAGCCTTGTCTCCCAGGAAGCTTACATTCCCGTGCAAGGAGTTAGGCCACAGACATTCAAGTGAACACAGAGCATATGGCGCAGGGACAGGTGCTATGGAGACGAAATGGTACAGGTCATGCCTCTGGGGGTTATGGGGGGGCTGCCATTTCAGGCAGGGAAGCTTTGCAGAGTGACATTTCAGCACAGACCCACAGGAGGCCAGGGAAGCAGCCCCAGAGGGAGAAACCTGGATAGGAGCTTCCTGGCAGGAGGAGGGTGGCAAAGATCAGGGCCAGGGGTAGGAGGCTGCCTGGAGTGTTCTGGAAACAGGAGTGAGACAGTAAGGGGAAGAGGTGGGCAAAAGGTCCCTAGGCTGGCTGGGCCAGAGGCCTTTTTCTGTCCTGAATAGAACACCCATCAGAGGGTGCTGGCAAGAGGGCCATGCTGACCCTGACATGTGCGGGGCAGGGGACAGTGGGCAGAGGAGTGAGGTGGCTGTACCATGCTCCTGAGCAGGAGGTGGCTCTGGCCCGGCGTGGGCACCAGCCTTGCTACTCCCAGATACTATGTACACCAGAAGGGGGGATGCAGTGTGGGGAGCCTCACTAAGGCCCCTGCCCCCACCACAGAAGGAAACAGCAACCTAATTTTCCTGACTGGAAAAGCAGAGTGGGCAACTCAGAGAAAAAGCATGTCTGCCTATAGTGTGGTGTCTGAGGGGTGGGGTCAGTGGAGTGAGGAGAGACTGGGGGCCGGGAAGAGACGCAGAGGCGCCGGGAAGTGCAGCAGCTGGAGAGCGCCTCATCCGCACAAGCACAGCTGTGGATCTGGGCAAGCCACTGACAGGGCTGAGCCTCTGCTCTCTATAAAGTGAACATCAATCAGACCAGCACCTCCTTGGGCTGGAAGGCTGGAACCAGAGGACCCACAGCAAGGGCTCATGCAGGGCCTAGTGTGGGGCAGCTCTCAACAAATGGCAGCTGCGAGTATCAGCAGAGGGAGATTGCCCCTGCAGAGCACCGTGGGGGACATCCCCACCTATAATGATTGCAGGCTCCTGCCCGTTCACGGGCTGCATTTTAAATTGCCAGGTGCAAGTGGGGATGTGTCCTGGTAGTGCCCTACAAACAATGCCTCAGATAGCCTGACACTGACATTCTGCTTAGGAGAAAACCCACTGCCTGTTCCTGTGGGCATCCTGCCACCCGTGAGGCAGTGCCATCGACAGTCAGCAGCAGTGGTCATAACAAAATTATAACTCTGGAAAAAAAAGTCAACTTTAGAAAACCAAGGACTGGAGAGTAGACGTGAGTGTCCCTACTAAATGGGACTGTGAGTGGCAGACTGTCCAGGAGGTAGCCATGGAGGAGGTAGCCATGGAGCTAGTCATCTGGAGGGAAGGCCTGCTGCGGGAGGAGGTGGGGAGCATGCCCCCTGTGGGTGGCCTTCCTGTCTAAAGTTAAATCCATAAAGGAGGATGTGAAGATGGTGTGTGTGTGTGCATGACTGCCACAATTAAAACATTTCCAGTGACACAAAAGGCCACATTACCTTTTAGGAAGAATATGTGGCTGTGACTGGGAGAGACAAAGAGCTGATTTCAGAAACAAGAGTTAACAGATTTGGTAAGATTGTCCGCCAGGAGACTTCTCTGTGTAACACACTCCCAGTGAGCTGACAAAAACGTTTTATTAGGAAAACAAGTTCCAGCCACTTGAAGCTGAGCTGTCCTGGGGGACAGGCCTGAAAGTGGTCTCTGGAGAGGCGCTGTCCACCACCTGCCCCTTCCTGAGCACAGGAGCAAGCCTGGCTCACAGAGGCAGCGGCAGGCGGGCCTCAGGGGCCGCTGGATCTTCGTTAGAAATAATCCCTGGTGGTAAACAGGATAAGCTTCCCCAGCTGCTCCATGCAGAGAGAAAGGCAGGGGACGCAGGGTCGAGGATCAAAGGGGAGGAAGGCAAAGGGCACCGGACCAGGGGAGCCAGGCTAGCACGGCATAGCTGTCAGTGGGAGGCTGTAGACTAGAAGTCAAGCTGGGCCTGGGTGGTCCTGTTGGGGCTGGGGCTGAGGCTGGGGCCGGGGCCAGCTGTTGGACCTAAGTCTTGACTGAACTGTAAAGAGAATCCAGGCAGGGGGCCATCTTGGGGCTGTGCTCCACCCTGTGGAGCTGGGCAGTCAGGTCAGAACCAGGGGATTAGGGAGGCTCAACCATTGCTGCTCATCTAATATTTACTCACCACTCACTACATCCTGATCTCATGGGGCTGATGCAGAGAGAAGAGTCAACAGAAAGAAAAGGATTTCAGATAACATCAAGTGCCATGTAGGAAGACTGAGGTGGCAATAAGGTAGTGACTGGGGTTAGGAGACATGCTGACTCAGGAAGGAATGATCAGGGGAGGCCCTGAGGAGACAACAGTTGTCCTGAGACCCTGTATTGTGAGAAGGAGCCAGTCATGTGGAGGTCAAAGAAAAAACTTTTGCAGGGGAAATAGTATGTGCAAAGGTCCTGAGGTAGGAATGCACTTGAGGTGTCTACATAGCAGAAAGGTGGTAAAAATGGCCTGAGCACTGTGACTGGGGCTGTGGTATGGGATAGGGGTGAGGCAGGAGGTGGGGCCAGTTGCCTGAGGCCTTATGGCTAAGGAGAAAAGCTTGAACCAGAGAGTCTTTTTTTTAAAAAATTAAGTCACATACACATAGTGAACCAGAGAGTCTTAAGAAATATTACGTGTTCTAGAAAGATCATACAGAAGATAAACTGAGGAGAGGCCAGAGGGAGAAGTTAGCTGGCTACTGTATAGACTCAGAGGGGAAGTGGCTGCAGGGTGAGGAATGAATGGATTCTGGAGAGCTGGCACTTGTAAGCCATAACTGGCTAGATGTGATATCATGTAAGGAGATGGAGAAGCTGAGCAAGGAACAAGCTCCCAGATCAGGAGCCCCGCTCTGAACACATCGAGCCTGAGATGCTTACTTGTCAGTTATGCGGAGAGGCCAGGAAAGCAGCAGGACAGAGGGCTCAGAAGTCCTGGGAGAGGTGTGGGCTGGGGCTATGTATCCACGAGTCACCCCAGGAACAGGGGGGAGGACCGGGGAGAGCACACAGTTGGAACCTGAGCCCCGGAAAGTGGAGCCTTCAGGTCAAGCAGAGGTGAGAAGCCAGGAAGAAAACTAGGAGCACAGAGTCCTGGAAGGAGGGCACAGTCACTTGTGCTGACTGCCACGCAGAGCAGAGGGGTCAGCCAGGACCCAGCAGAGAAGTGGAGCTGGATGTGGTGGGTGAGAGAGAAGGACAGGCGATGGAGAGGGGACCAGTGCCAAAAGCTCTTGGGAGACTTTGTTCCTTCATCGGATAGCTACTGATTGGGCACCTGTTATGTGCCAGGCCCTGATCTGGGCACAGGGGAGGCAGTGAACTAGGTGAGCTCCTACCCTCATGAAGCCTTTATCCCCAACAGGGGAATGTACTTAGAGAAGGATGTCAGGCCAAGGTTATTTTATTTATTTGGGAAAAGCCTGCCACTGGAACATGCTTGTAAGCCGATGGTAAGGTTCAGGGTGGGGGTGGTGGTAGATTGCCTCTAGCAAGGAAGGGACAGTCCCTGAGCACCAGAATGGTCTTTCCGCCATCCCAGGAGGGAGGCAGGTGGTAAGGGTACCCAAGCAGACATGTGCTCATTGATTCTCAGTCACCCCACACAACATGGGACACACCACTGCTTTCCCACCTCCCCTTGGGCTAAGGCGAAGGAGAGCAGCAGACTCCAAGGGGCTTCCTGAACTCTGAAGCAGCATCAGGTGGGGTGGGGATTAGGTGATCCTCTCTGCCTGGGTCACTAGGCTCCACTCAAAGTGAGATTTTACCTAATCACACTTTTGGACCAGGGCTCTGGAAGGCCAGGATAACGCTGGGGAGATATGATGGGGGAGCAAAAGTCAGTTGTGACTGTGGACTTGGCTGGGACCCCTATCGGGCGGGAATGGGAAAGGAAAGAGAGCCCAACCTTAACCCTAAAGGTGATTGAGGTGGGGTAGGGTGGGCCCCGGCTGAGCCCAGGCAGACCTGGTCACTGCTGGTCAGGATGCACACTGAATAGCAGGCAGGCATCTCTAGATCATACTTGGATTAACACCATATGGTCTGATTATAAATAAGCAAAACCTGCCCCCTAGCCTGCGTGGTGGTAAGGATGACTAACAATACCAGGTGGGAGTGCTCTGTATGGCAGGAGTGGGCAACATAAAGGAGGCTGCAGCCTCCCGAGATGACAGCACATGCTTAAACAGGCAGCATGTGGCGTCATTCAGAAAACGCTACATCCTACATGGACAGAGAACTTTTCCTGTGAGGGATGGTGCGGCCAGAATCCTTCGGTGCCTAGACTAACACAGCACAGCATGAGAAGGGCTCACCAATTGCATTTGCAGTGAGCAAATCTCTTGCCCTTACGCGGTGCTTACTCTGGGCCAGACCTGTGCTAAGGGTGGGGATAATGGAAGAGAAAGAAGAAAGGAGGTGCAGGATCTGGGTTGCCAAGTGTACTGAGGTGGGCTGCAAGGGCTCTGCCCCTTCCTGGACCCTGATTTCCTATGTGATGTGGTTATGCACATTCGCTTAGCTAGCATGTCACACCTGAAGGTACCAGCAGCTGCTTGCTCTAGTCTAGGTGTGTGGCATGGTTAGCAAAAGCAGTTTGGGGGCAGTTCAGAGATTTTATCCTGGAGGTAAAGGGGAGCCACTGACAGTTTCAGACCTAGGCAGGGACCTGCACACAGGGAGGACCTGGTAAAGCAGGAGGCGAGGGGCAGTAAGGGCCAACACAGTGCTGGAGACAGCCAGGAGGGAAAGGGGCAGAGAACAGGCAGGACCTGGCCACTGACTGGAGGTGGGACGTCCTAGGCAAAGGCCTCAGAAAACCCAAATCAAGAGTAGTGAGGCCTTGCCCACCTAATATCGAACAGATGTGGAGCAAGAACATCATGGTGTCCAGAAAATTAGTCTAATTTACACTCAGTTCTACGAGTAAGGATTAGGATTCAGTTCAAGAACTCATTTGTTGCACAATGAAATGAGAAATGAGAATGTAACAATGAGGGGTGGACCAGGCAGATGATTTTGCAGTCCCTTCTCCGGCTATTGAAGGTAAGGGTGCATGTGGCATGCAGAGGACAAGCTTGGGGCTGGGAGAGAGAGGTGCATCCTAACCTGGGTCTGCCGCTGACCTGATGGCAGCCTTGACCTTCCCTGTGACTCAGCCTGCCTGTCTGTGCACAAGGGCAGAGTCAGAGTCAGCTTCAAAGTCCCCTGGAGTACTGACATTCTCTCAGTATGATTTTTTTTTTTTTTT